TTCCCCTCGGCCCGACCCGGAAGGCGGACGCGGCGCTACGAGGTAACGGAGAGGAGGGGTCGTTGGCCCCGCCCACTTTGGCCACAGACCACGCCCCCTTCCCGCTAGGCCACGCCCAGAATCGACAGGCCACGCCCTCCCTCCTGTGGGGACACCCCCTCCGAGGGGACACAGGGACCGTGCGGGGACAGGGGGAGACAGGGGACATGTGGGGTGACAAGGATGGTGTGGGGGGAACAGGATCAGCCCCACAAGGGACATGGGGGAGACAGGGGACATGTGGGGTGACAAGGATGGTGTGGGGGGAACAGGGTCAGCCCCACAAGGGACACAGGGGGACAGGGGCCATATGGGGTGACAAGGGTGGTGTGGGGGGAACAGGATCAGCCCCACAAGGGACATGGTGGGGGGACAGGGGCCATGTGGGGTGACAAGGATGGTGTGGATCAGGCCCAGCAGGAACATCTGAGGGGTGGGGGCACAGGATCAGTCCTGCAAGTGACACAGTGGGGACAAGGGGATGTGCAAGTGCCAGGGGCCATGTGGGGCGATGAGGGCTGTGCTGGGGGACAGGATCAGGCCCACAAGGGACACAGTGGGACAGGGGCCATGTGGAGGGGACGGGATCATTCCCAGCAGGGACAACAGGGGGGATATGACCAGCTCAAGGGACATGGTGGCAACAGGAGTCATGTGGGGTCAAAGGGGTTGTGGAGGGGGACAGGACCAGTCCCAGCAGGGACATCTGAGGTGTCAGGGGACAGGACCAGTCCCAAAAGGCCCAGCCACAGCCATCAGGAGGAACCAGCCCCATCTCCTGCCCCACACGTTTGGCCAGCAATGCCAACCCCCTTCAAGACCGCCCGTGGAGACCACACACCCCACAACAGCACTGCAGCTGGAAAACCTCTATTTCCTTACAAAAGAGTAAAAACCAGCCCCAGGTGTCACATCCTGCCCCGGGGCTGGGGATGGCTTTGCTGAGTCCCTTGGGTGGCACCGGCAGAGCCACCCCTCCACGTGTCACAGCCATCCCTGAGGGTGTCCCCGGGGCTCAGGCGCAGCGTCGGGGCAGCCCATCTGCTCCCAGGAGATGTTGGCTGGGGTCATCCAGGAGCTGGGGACCAGGGCCGGGCTGTGGGGCAGGAGACAGGTTAGGGGCAGCGGGGGCCAGATGCTGGCACCAGGGAGCCCCATTCCCTGCAGAAACAGCCCCTTCTCGGAGCTGTGGGGCAGCTCTGTGCCCCATGGACCCCAAAAGGCCATCCCATGGGTCACACCAGAGGGAACAGGGTCTAGGGATGGGGTTCTGCAGACTCCTGGGGATGGGGACAGGGATGGGGTCCCACACACACCCCTGGGGCTGGGGTCCCACACACTCCTGGGGATGAGGACAGGGCTGGGGTCCCACACACACCCCTGAGGATGGGGTTGTCCCCCCCACCCTGGAGATAGAGTCCCTCACAGGTCCCCAGGAAAGGGGACAGGGTTCTCTACACCCCTGGGGACAGGGATGGGGTCACACACACCCACCCCTGGGCATGGAGATGGGACCAGAGCCTCACCACAGAGGCCAGGCAGATGGGTGACCCTGCCCCACACCCCCCAGACCCCCTCCAGCCCCATACCTTGGTGTGCAGGATGTACTGGATGGCCCCCGGCACCGGCTCCGTCACCACGGCCGTGAGCAGCTCCTCCGGCAGCGAGGACGAGCCGACGGGCAGCCCCCGCACAAACCTGAGGGCATAACCAGACCCTCAGTCCCAGTTCCCCTGCCACCCCACTCCTCTTCCCCAGTAAGAGATGAGATTGCCCTTACTGGTCCCCGTTGGTGGCGGGGGGGAAGCTGCGCCTCACCACCTCCACGAACTCGGCCACGGTGTCCGCCAGCGTGAAGATGACGGCGTTGGGGCCGGCGTCGAAGGTGTAGGCTACCTGTGGGGGACACGGTGACCTGGTGAGGGACCACGGCACCACAGGAAACCCCAGGAGCCCTGTGGGGTCTGTGTGGGCGGCCGGTACCTTGGTGCGTCCGTGGTGAGCATTGAAGCGGTGCGCCAGGGCGATGATCTGCCGTGAGATGTCGTTGAGGTAGAAGATGGGGGGGAAGGTGTCGAGGCAGGTGGCGTGGAACTGGTTGCTGTCCTTCATGGTGAGCTGCCCGAAGCCCTCGAAGTCCCGCTCACGGATGTGCCGCATCATCAGGGCCAGGCGTTCCGGCACCACCGCCTCTGCCCGGTGCTGCCCACGGCAGGGACACGGTCATCCCAGTTCGGGGACACTCACCGCCCCACCACCCTCTGGGTGGCCTCACGGGTGCAGCCCCCCCTGCCCACCCTTCTTTCATTCCCCTAACCATGGATAAACGTGCCCTCCACCAGGGGAAACGGGACCCCAAACCCTGCCTGGGGCAGGATCAGGCCCGTTGCCCCGTACCTTCAGCAAAGGGCTGGTGTCCACACTCGTCTGCATCCCCGACGTGCTACCCACCGCCTTCTTCTCCCCGCTGACCTGGGGTGGGGGGGGGGACACAGATGGGTCAGACGTGACACTCCTTGAACCCCCAGCCACAGCGAGGGGCACCCCCAAACCCTGGGGTCTGCACCCACATAGTGCTGGGGTCACCCAAACCCACTTGGGGTCACCCAATCCCACCCAGGGTCACCCAATCCCACCCAGCTGGGAGGGTGGTGTGGGTCCAGCCGTAACCCCCTCCCCACCCCAGGTCCCTCACCACCAAGACGAGGACCCTGAGCTCCGGCCAGTGCGTTTCGGGGGCCACTTGGTGAGCGAGGCTGTCCCTGCCGTCCGGCCGCTCCCCCCGTTGCCACTGCACGAAGCCCCCCAACATGCTGCGACAGGCGCTGCCCGACCCGCGCCGGGCCACCTCCGACAGCTCGCCCTCCACGCCGTACAGCCGCGCCAGTGCCGCCACTGCGGGGACAAGGACGGGGTCAGGGGTGGGGGGACACCACCACCATCACCCCCCCAACTTTGTCACCCACCCTCCCTGTCCCCGCTCACCCACCCAGGCAGGCGTAACCGGCAGCGGAGGAGGCCAAGCCGGCGGCGGTGGGGAAGTTGTTCTCGGTGGCGATGTGGATTTTGTAGGAGAGGCTGAGGGGGGACGCGTCCTCAGCGCTGCCGCCACGGCGCTTGCGGGCCAGGCGCCGCACTGCCAGGGGACAGGAGGAGGGGGGGGGGGGGGCGTCTGGGGGGGAACCCCCCCACCG